CCGCGGCATCTTCAGTTCAGCACCAAGGTGTGGGTTTAGTGTGGGGCCCTGTGGAGGCCTTTACAGRCACAACTCGGGGTCCTGCCTGGGGGAGTCGGTGTGAAGCCCAAGCCCAGCCCCACTGAGGGCCTCCCAGGCACTGACCGACAGCGGCTAAGTCCCACTGCCAAGTCCAGGCGACGTGGACGAGCAAGCCCAGGGACAGCCAGCCGCGGGCTCTGCTCCAGGGTTTGTTGAAACTCACTCTGAAGGCAGATCAGCAGCCCAGGTCCCACAGGCAGGGCTGAAGAATAAACTCGACCCKAACTGAGAAGACCCGGCCCACGAAAGCCCCCAGGAGGAGCACCCGGGCCACCGTCCCCCAGACTCAGGGCCAAGGACAAGGACTTCCCCAAGGATGGGGGGTAGGCGGGTGGGCAGGTGGCTCCCGGTCTTTCCCTGGCCGCCCCTGCCCACCCAGATCTGAACCCCAGCTGGGCTGAGCTTGCAGGAAACCCACCTCCTCAGTGATATCAGAGCTGGGGCTCAGGAACGCACCCCTCAGGGGACGTGAATCTGTGGTGACCATCACCTGCCACTCAGCCTCAGGTAGAGAGAGGGACCCGGGAATGGCCAGGAGTGCCCGATAACCCAGGCAGTTCCAGCTCACAGCCTGGCCTGGCCAGCCCCACACTGCAGTGCATCAGAGGGCCCAGGGTCCCAGGAAGGGCCCCAGCAGGCCACAGGGGCTCCCCTTCCAGCTCAGGACAAAAGCAGCAAAGTGTCACCGACCACAGCACAAAATGCAGATGGACCCGAGGAGGAGGATGTGTCCTTGACCTGCAGGGGACAGGGCAGGACAGGGGACGGTGCCGCTGAAGGGCTGCACATGCYGACCGTGCAGGGTACCGGCAGCAGAAGACCAGCATCTGTCCTCAGGGAGCGTCCAGTACGGAGGAGACCCAGGCAGCCCAAGCCAGCGGGAGGGACGGGGACTGGAAGGGACCCAGGGGGCCCTGGGGGAGAGTGCCCTGGGAGTGCAGCATCCTGCAGGAGGTCAGCATCCTGCAGGAGGTCAGCGTGAGCTACAGGGAGAGCCTGGGGCAGCCACATCAGGTGGGGTGGACCCCAATGCCACAGGCCCCAGAGGGCTGACTGGACTTCAGGCCAGAGCAGCTCCGGGAAGCCTTGTGCACGTGTAAGGGGACACACTGGGCTGTGAAGATGGACCACAGGGGCAGCAGGAGACCAGTCAGGAGGTGACCAGACAAATGTGTGGACAGGAGGGAACGACGATGGGCAGTCACCAGGACCAGGCGGCAGACCGAGTGCAGGGTCAGCACAGGTGAGCCGACCCGGGGGCTGGAGGAGAAGCCTTAGGGTCAGACGGGGCACACACAGACTTGGTGTTGGAGTCACCGCTGGACACCCAGGAGAGGCGGACACAGGAGGTTGGAGCCAGGGGAGGCCAGCCTCGCCTGAGCGGCACATGAAGCTGACCATCAGGTGGAGGGAGGAGAGACCCCAGATCAGACCCAGCTCCACAGCGTAACATGGGTAAAACTGGATGACAGTCCCCCCCCAAGGGCTGTCACAGACACGTGGAATCAACAGAGACCACCTCAGTGACCACCAGAGTCTCCCACCTGAGAGGGAGTGACCATCGTTGTGTGGCTGGGGACAGCATGCCCAGAGCAGAGCCAGATCTCACCCCAAGCCCCAAGGCTGGCCTGGACATGGGTGAGTGCCTGGAGGCAGGAGCCATTTCCTCATGACCCCTGGTTACTCGCTGACCACGGTGCTTCCCCTGTGCGCCCTGGTGCCCAGCACASAGCAGGCGTCTCCACGGAGTGCTGTGAAACAAGGGAAGCGAGAGAAGGAGGTGATGGGAAGACCCCATCACACGGGGCCAACTGTCCTCAATTAGCCACGTGGGCAGTTGGGCATGGCCCGGCCATGTGGACACTGAGCTGGGCTGTTCTGGGCACTGTGGGGTGCTGAGCAGCAACCCTAACCCTCCCCAGGGCACCAAGCTCTGACCACCCACTGTCCTCATTGTCCATGTCCCCAAGGGGCAAAATCTCCCCAGCCAGGGGACTCGGGGCAAAATGCCTTCATGTTCTGCACCTCAGTCTCTCCATTTCTGAAATGGGCACAGGGCTGCCGTGAGAAAACACCCGAAGAATCGTCCAGAACACTGAGAGCACCACCAAGAAACACGGCTGCAAGTCACACAGTCCCGAGACACTGACCAGCATATCCCCCAGGAGGCCAGGGGGTGGAGAGACCCTCCAGAACCTTCCAGAGCAGGGACGGCCCCGAGGTGTCACGTGATGGCCAAGGGGAAGGAACACCTCAGACGGACGGAGGGMAGATGGGAAGCCAGGAGACGGGGCAACACGTCCACATCTGGACCAGCGGGAGCCCCAGGCCTGAGGGACCCAGAAACCCAAACCACAGCGTTTACGAAACCAAGACCGCGCAGAGGAGGACGGGAACAGCCTGCATTTGCCACCGGGTTGTTGGGGACATCAGCAGACTGAGAAAGTGGGAAAGCGTCCAAACTGTCCACACCTAAGTCTTCCTGTCCTGCTCCTTTCAAASAGTGGGACCCTTGCTGGCCCTGACGGCCACCCCAGTGCAGAAATGAGAGTCCGAGAAGCAGCCCGCAGCCCTCTTCCCCGGCGGAGCCCAGGGGATCCAGGTCCCGGGGGGTCTGGGGCCAAGATGGAGCAGACACTCCGGAGGGCTGTCAGGATACCTTCTCGGCGTCAAACCCGCGGAGGTTTTCCTGGGATTAATTGATGCCTTCCTTCTGCGGCTCACAGGAAGCCAAGGGCTTCCAGTGCCCCTTGGGCTGATTCCAACAGGCCGCTGCGAGGCCCGAGTCGGCTTCCCCGGCAGCGGGTAATGGGAGCCCGTGACGACAGCGCGGCTTTCATCGCGCACGGAGGAGCGCAATTACCTCGGCTCAGAAAACCAGTGCTTCAAAGGGAGAGAGGGGGTAGGAGGAAGAGGACGAGGAAGATAATCAGGCTTCATTAGTCTTATCTCGGGGGGAACACGGAGGGTGCTTTCAGTACCCAATGGGAGTCAGACGAGTCTCCTGCCCATCACGGTGCGTCACGGGTCTTACCAGCGATGACAGCCCTGGCCATTCCCGTCATTATTCTTCCAAAAATGACTCCCTTGATGAAAAGGAAACTCGAGAACGTCTRAGTCAATCGGCTCCACCCAGCGGGTCAACCTGTCTTCACAGGGACGCAGGGACCCAGGGCCCCGATCCCTGGCGGCTTCCACTCGCCCTGCCCGCCTCCACTCGCCCTGCCCCAGCGTGGCCATGCGTCTCCAGCAGGCCAGCCACGCAGCTGCACAGGGCCAACGCCTGGCCTTAACACAGTGAGCCCCACAAGGGCAGAARGCAGAGATCAACTGGGGTTACCCTCTCTGATGGGTGGGGTGAGCTGGGGTGCATACATCAGGCACCCAGTAAGTATTTGCGGCACAAATGAAGACCCCATATTGGCTGACCCCGCTGGAGGCCCCAGCCCTCTCTCAGGCACAGTGGCCCCAGTTTCTCCATCTGACACAGGAGAGTCAGTGAAGTGCCCCTCTGGGTCCCAGGGCAGAGGGAAGGGGTGCAGGGGCACCAGCCCCCAGGGGCTTCCCAGCAGGAGGAGGCCAGCCACACAAGCTGGCTCCAGTGTCCCATGACCGCTCTGGAAGAGACGGAGTCCACACCATGCGAGTCCACGGGTGGGGGAGGCTGGACAGGACACCCCCCCCCCCGTCCTGAAGGTGGCAGGGCACCTGTCCTGCCTTCCTGCTCCCTGCAAGCTGGGAATCGAGGGTCAGCACTGAGCAGGACGGCAAGAGACGTCTGGGTGCTGCTGGCCGCCAGCCCACCAGCCAGGCAGGGGTGGTGCACAGAACACAGACGGCCAGAGAAAGGAACGCCCTCCCCCTCCCCATGTGGCCAGACCACAACCCACCCGGGGCCGATGCAGCCAGTGAGCGCAGCAGCCGCCGTGCCAGGCTCCAGAGCTGGTCTCCCTCCCTTCGGCGCACAGACCTGGCGCCCACACTTCCTCTCCCTTTGTCCTCCCTGGCGCTCTCTTCCTGCTCCCTAAGTACCTGTTGATACCTCCAGCTCCTGTCTAAGCCCATAAACTCCCGCTCTGTGCCAGAGAAGCCTCCCCCCGAGCAGCAGGTTCCGATTTTCCCCGTGTTTACACCAGGCCGGTTAATCGTGGATACGGCTCACGGATGGAAGGGGCTCGAAGTCATCTCAGGTGCAGATCAAGTCCTGCATAATCCCCAGGGGCTTTCCAAAGAGAGACCCTCCAACGTCAGGAACACCGCAAACTCGTTTCTCAAAGGGGCCATGATCCTACGKACAGCCGAGGGCCCGGAGCGCACAGGGAGCACGGGTTTCCTGTGCTGTGGGGCGGCCTGTTTTCAACAGCCACCGCCGGCTGCCTGCGGAGCGATTCGCCTCTGGCATGAGTCAGGTCGCATGGTGGTGGTGCGCTTCAGGGTGGGGAGGTGAGCCATTTCMCACAGTGACAGTGAGGCATGAAAACTGCAGGCAACGTCCTTCAGGACCCACAGGACGGCGGCCCAGGACTCCCACCCAGTTCCCCTCTGCACTAACCAACTGCGCTGGAAATCTGGAATGACGCATTTGGAACCCTCAGAGGCGATGCGTGGCCTCGTGCACCTGGGTACCTCGGGGGGACCTCACACTGCGGCCTGCTCCTGCTGTCCTCCTGAAGGGACGGCCTCGGGCTCCCAGGTGTGAACGAGACCTCAGATCAGGGAGGAAGGGCCTCCTCCCAGTGCCACTCCAGAGACCCCTCGAGGCACACGGAGCCTCACCTGGGCCCGGCACCTGTCCTGTGACCACGTCACCGAGAGGGAAGCAGACAGAGGAGCCTCAGAACCCCTCCCACGTGTGAACCGGGCACCTGGGTACCAGTGCAGAYGAGCCCCGGGGCCACAGCCCAGGCCTGAACACCTACCCGTGAAGTCCTCGAAGCACTCGCAGGTATAGCCGCCCTCGCGGCTCCGGCAGCGGCCGTTGGCCCCGCACGGGCTGGAGTAGCAGAGGTCGATCTCCGTCTCACAGTAGTCCCCGGTGAAGCCGGGCGGGCAGCGGCAGCGCAGGCCGTTGACGGGGTGGATGGGCCGGAAGAGCACGGTGCTGGAGCTGATGAAGGGGGCTGAGCTGTCGAAGCGGAGCACGGACACGCACTTCATGTAGTTCTCGCAGGGCTCCCGCAGACAGATGTTGTCGTCGAAGGGCAGCACGCGCTGGGCCGAGATGGTGGTCAGCAGCGTGCGGTTGAGGTAGATCTGCTCCTGCAGGTCCTCGGACGGGAAGAACCTGCCCCGCACGCCGCCCGGCAGCAGCGCCGAGAAGGTGACGTTGAGGATGTTGGAGCTGACGTCCGTGTCGTTCTGGATGTTGAAGACAAAGACGTCGTCCTTGGTGGTGGACAACACTGTGGCCACCCCTTCCACAAACAGGGACAGCAGCGGGGAGAGGAACTTCTCCTGAGACATGTTCTCCAGGCGGACGGTGATGCTGTTGGTCAGCATGTCGTCCGTGATGATGGTGACACGCAGAGTGCAGAGGGCCGTGACACTGTGGATGCCATCTGTGGGACACAAGGAGAGCGAGTGGGTCAACAGATGCCTCTGGGGGTCAGGGAACAGCCCAAGACGCACTTGGCAAAGAGGCCCATTCCCCACCCCGACCTCCTGCTTCCCGGCCCCCTCCTCCCTCTGCCACTGACGCCCAGCAGCCTCCAGACCACAGCCACCATGTCCTTCCCCTGCTCAGAGGCCCTCAGTGGCCCCCAACCATGAAGGGGAGCACCCCAGTGACCACCATGATTCAGGGCTCCCGGGGGTTCACTGCCTCACTCCAATCACAGACCCGGCCACCAGGCCCTCGAACCCCAGGCACCTGCCCTCTGCCCACATTCCCACCCTTCGTCCCCAGCCCAGCTGCAGCCCCGGGAGCTCTGCAAGCCTGCCCTGGTGCTGCAGGATCGCCCCACCCAGACACGCYGTCGTACCCACTTCACAGGCAGGAAGCCAAGGAAGGCAAGCGGGGCCGCGCTGTGTCCCGGCTGGCACAGTGGAAACCAAGAGACAGTACTGGGCACTCAGACCCAAAGGGAGGACGACGCTGGTCACAGAGTCACACAACCCAGTTCCAAGCCCAGAACCAGAGGAGACAGATGTGCAGACAGATGTGCAGACAGATGTGCCCCCAGACAGCAGAGGGAAGAGAGAGCCTCCGCATCCCAGGCCGCTCTCCCTGGGCGCCTGCAGTCCTGGCTGTCTCTGGGCCACAAGGATCCAAGTCACATGACCTGTCCACACAGTGAAGAGCATCAGCAGCCGCAGTCACGACTGCAGGCAGGAGCCTTGTCACGGGAAACCTGAGCTCCCAGGAGACCCCAGCAGGAGCCACCCATCCCCACTGAGCTGGGTGCCGTGGCCACGCCTGTGATCCCAGGGACTCAGGAGCCCGAGGCAGGAGGATAACAAGTTCCAGGCCGGCCTCAGCAGCTCGGCCTCACTGTCCCAAAGCAAACACTAAAGAGGGTAGGGCTGGGGCTCGGCGTTCAGCACCCCGGGCTCAGTCCCTGGCACCAAAGGAACCAAAAGAAAAACAGGTGGGAAACGGAGATGCTGTTGCTGGGGCTGGCTCTGAACTCACAATCCTCCTGCCTCAGCCTCCCAAGCCGCTGGATCATAGGCGTGGGCCATCGCACCCGACGCTGCCATTCAATTTTCAAAGGAAAGACCACAGCCTGGTTGAACCCTGGGAGCTCGGCTTGGCCTATCAGCCCCGGCTTCCCTCCACCATCAGCCTCATGCTGCCGTCACAGTCCCCAAGGGTGGCGCCATCACCCATTGCCTTGTGGCCCCTTGTGACACCTAGAATAAAACACACAGCCCTTGCCCTGTCTCACRGTCCTTCATGGTATGTCTCCTCACCCTCCCCATCATCACAGTGATGCCGCCCTGCCATCCTATGGTCCTTCTTCCTGCCCCAGGGCCTTTGCCCATCTTGTCTTCCACCTGGAGCAGGACCAACTGGGTCCCAGCTACCTGCCCCCCACGGGAGCCCCCTTGTAGGGCACCCCCGTCCACCTAGCATCCCCACTTCATGCCTGCACAGGAGCTGCCGCTGCCCGACTCCACCCTTATTTGTTTACACCTGTTTCTCCCCAGGGAGTCTGAGGGCAGAGACCTGCAGGTCTTGCTCCTGCCACATCTAGAACATTCCCATCTGCGAAGCTGCTGGGTGAACACGCTGGGGGGGAGGCTCCCACACAGCTCTTCCACCCCACACYGCCACGCAGACCGCATGGGAGACTCCGTTTGTCCACCCAAGCTGTTTTTACTTGCTGGAAGCTGCCGGGTTTCCTGGGCCAACGCCGTGACAACACAACAGGCAGGACACGGCTGGCCTCCCAGGGACCACTCACCAGACTCCTCTCTCCTGAAGCCACTATGGGTCTGTTTGCTCTGGCCCTGGCCGCAGAGGCCACAGGGAAACTCAAAGCCCAGACCTCCTTGGCTGCACTGGGCTCTCCTGTCCCCAGGGCTGGGGGCTGCAGGACTTGGCCACCCGCCCGTGGGCACCCAGGAGGGCACAGCATAGCAAAAACCTGCAGCAAGGACCCAAGTCCAGGGATTCACGCTCGCTGGGGCCCCAGGAAACGGCATTAAATGTCAGCTCACGTTGCTGAGCTGGGAACACGACAGGCGTCACCCACCACCCAACGTCAGCATCACGACCATGGACATCCAGGTACAGGGACAACGGGCCTGCACTCTGTGGCCTCCGGGGTGGGCCACTGCTCTCAACAAGCCTCTGGGACCCAAACCCAGTGCCCGTCGGTCAGAGGCCACCGAGTGACGTAGCGGCCACCCCCGCAATGAAGCACCAGGCTGAGCCGACCGAGTAGCAGCTGCCAGTGCGGATCCTCTCAGCAGCGGCCCGGCTGGGCACAGGTTCTGTTCTGAGTCACCTTCAAGTTCCAACAGCTTCACACTCACCCGGGGCCGCGCCCAGGCTCCCTGTCCACACGGCGGCCTCGCCCCGCCTGCCCGCCGCCCGCTGTCTTCAGGTCTCCCAGTCTTTACCTACTGTCCCTCCCACCCCAGGACCCCACGCGACACTCAGCCACTGTGTCCCCTTGCTCCTCTGGGTGGGACCCAGCATCCCTAGGGGTACTGCTCACGCTGCGTGGAGAAGGTGGGGCAGAGGCAGAGGTGGCCCGCACTCTGCCCTCTGGACGTCCCTCTCCCCAGGACGTCCCTCTCCCCAGGAGCGTGGACGGCTGGTGCAGAGGTCCATGCTGCGAGGACAGCGGGCTCCAGCGCCCAGCCTGCGTCCAGGCGCCTTCTCCACAGCTGGAGGATCAGCGTCCCGCCAGCTCCAACACCCCAAAGGCAGTCCAGTGCACCTTCTGTGCCCACCCTGGGAGGGACGAGTCGCCGTACTGTCCCTGAGAGGGCAGAGGACACGGGCAGACAGCAGGCCTGAGGCTGCGGGGCCGCCTGGTGGTGCTCCCTGCGTCACCCAAACAAGGTCGGTGGGGACTTTCCAGGGCCCGGGTGGGGCCCATGTGACCCTCTCATATGGATGTGACAGTGGCTGGAGGAGGGTGGGGATCTAGTTGTAGCCCAAGAGGCGGGCCCACTCCTGGGGACTGAGGAAGGTGTCACAGCACGGCTTCCAAGGAATTGACGGCCCCCAGGGTGGGGGGACAAGGACCAAACCACAGTCTTGAGGCCAGGTGGCAGGTGACCTCGCTGCAAGTGACAGTCACAGCGGCCAGGGCTGGGTGACCCCAGGAGGCACTGGGGAGGTGTGTCCCCCAGGAGGGCCTGCCTGGGAAACAGACAGGAAGGGCCTCTGCACGTCACACGCAGGACAGCAGCAAGGGACAGACGGCAGCCACCTCCTGCGCAGCGTCACGACCCAGGGCCCGACCACAGCAGGCGCCTGCCCTCCTGGTCCTGGGGACCACAGCCCACCGTCTAGGTGTCGGGGCTGGTCCCARAGAGGCCCCACAGCACCACCTGCTCCAGGACCCCAGCCTCTGGTGTCACCAGGACCCTGGAGTCCCTTGGCCCGAGGACACGCCTCTCCCACCCCGCCCTGGCCTCAGGAGGCCCCCTTCCCTCTGTGTCTGGTTTCTCCTAAAGGACACCGTCCCTGGATGAGGGCCACACCCAGCGTCACCTTGGTGACACCTCAAGAGCCTCTCTCCAAACCACACCAGTGCTGCAGTTACAGGTGGACGCAGACTCGGGGACACCATTCAGCCAGGGACAAGTGGGGACGTGGAGGAGGGAGGGACAAGGCCACAAGCAGGGTGAGGCCTCCTGACTGCTGCTGGGCCCGTGGGGTAAGGCCCTGGGGGAAGTGGCCACAGGAGAGGGGTCCTCACGGCTGTGGGTGGGACCTGGGCACCACGAGGGCCCTGCTGGCCCCTCTACAGAAGAGGACACAGGGCAAGAGGGGCTCTGTCCAGCGAGGACACTCGGGCTGTGGGCAGCAGGACCCAGACTCCACCTGGCCCTGGGCCCCACCAGAGATGGTCAGGTGGATGGGGCAGTTGGCCTGAGAGGACCCCGACCTGCTGCTGAGGACAGCCAGAGACACTTGCTCACGGGTCCCTGTGACCCCACATGCACCTCGGCCTGGGGTGGCCCCTCTGCGCTGACGGTCTCTGCTGAGGTCCCTGTTCACAGCCCTCCCACAGCCAGACCCCAACCCTCCACAGGGCACTGTGCTCCCATCCCTGGCTCTGTCCCCGCTCTGTCCCCTGCTCCTGTCCCCTCCCAAGCCTTCCTAATGGGCAGGAGGGTCTGGAGGTCCCCCTCACAGCAGGTGACTTCAGGTGGCTTCCTGCTTCCCTCTCCACGGCGCTCATCTCTGTGAGGCCAGACGGCAGGTGTGACATGAGCTCCTGCTTCTCCTGCCCCGGCCACAGTGAGGAAGAGCACCCCACGGACCCGGGGAGGAGCGTGGGCCAGCTAGGGGGTGACCAGCACAGTGGGCACCGTGTGGTCCCAGTGCAGCCCACCCGCTGACCCCGGCCGCCCACACCGGTCTCTCATTTGGAACCCAGGTCCTCACCTTGTAACTGCCCCCACTGCTGCCCCTCAGACTGCTAGAGGGGGGTCTCCATGGCCCTCTCCCGCCGCCCCACTGGATCTTGGGGCGCCCAAGCACCAGAGCCCAGGCAGCCGGCATGAACCCCCAGCCCTGGCAGGCACCGGGTCCAGGCGGCAGACCCCAATGCCCCTCGGCATCCTCTGCCCCCAAGACACTCCCCTCCGAGCCCCTCCTCCCCTCCGAACCGTGAAGTCCTGGAGGTGCAAGGAGTTGTCTCTCACAAGACCTGGGGCGGACGCTGTCCCCAGACGGCCAGCACAGGAGGAGTCGGGGGACACCGTGTTCTAGGGAGGACCTGCCTTCAGGCAGACAGAACACACAGGAGGGAAGGGACCAGAGGACCCTGCGCTCGGTGACATGAGCCCCACAAAGAAGGCAGATCCCAGGTGAGGCCCGTTGTGCRAGGTGCCCACGGAGTCAGGTTCAGAGGAGGAGGACGCGCCCCGG